TGCACTAACTCTGCAGCAGCACTTCTTCTTCATCGTCTCGTCTGATGCACTCACTCAACCAAGCGTTCTAACCACAACCTCGCCCCTCCCCAACCATTCGAATTTCTGTAGGCGGGAATTATTTTTAATGATATTCTAATGAGCCGCTTTGTGATATCACAAAGCCCGGAAAACAAACGCTGTAGTCCAAACGAGCCGTTCATTGTAGTTCTTGAAAAGGGATTTTTAAAAAACTAAATATCTCCCTTTGGAGTGGACTTTGAGATTTGTAACTTTCTAGATCTTTTTTATGCCCAAACACACTACACACTGACTAAAATTAAAAAAGTGAAAAAGCATAATAAGACCCCTTTAAGCAGCACAACTGTTGTCAACATTGATAATAATAAGAAATTATTCTTGAGCAGCAAATCAGCATATTAGACTGATTTCTGAAGGATCATGTGCCAATGAAAACTGGAGCTGAAAATTCATCTTTGTCATCGCAGAAAAAGATGACATTTATTAAAATATATTCATATAAAAACAGTTATTTTAAATTGCAATATTTCACAATATTACTGTTTTTATAGTTTTTTTTTTATCAAATAAATGCAGCCTTGGTGAGCCTTGTATAAAAAAAATAAAAAATTGAATGGCAGTATATGCTAATAAGTGAGTTAGAACTCCCTCTGGTGGACTGAAGGAGCAGCTGCAGCATTAGCTTGTCAGGCACCAAGCGGAGCACCTTTCAATTATTTATATAATACATTAAAAAGTATAAAGTTTATGTCTGTTGTTGTATTTACATTCATTGTTTATTCCAGACTGCACAGGCGACCACTGAGAGCACAGAGAGTGTAGAGATGCCAGAATCCTTCCTGTTCAAAGTGAGTACAAAATTATGTTTCAGTTTAACTAACATTGGTCTTTTAATCAGAATTTGAAGCAGAAGAAGTGAGACATGTATTTGTGTGAATATAGGTGAAAGCAATGCACGACTACAATGCCAATGACTCTGATGAGTTGGAGTTGAAGGCCGGAGATGTGGTACTGGTTGTAAGCTATGAAAACCCAGACGAGGAGGTTAGTATAGTCGTTTTGACCAGTTCTTACACAAGAGATCTTGGTGTTTGGATCACCTAACTGCGTTTCTGTGCTTACAGGATGAAGGGTGGTTAGTGGGAGTCAAAGAGTCCGACTGGATTCAGCATAAAGATCAAGGGAAAAAAGGAGTCTTTCCTGAAAACTTCACCCAGAGGATGTGAGAGCCTGTGATCCGCTTGACCTGTTGTTAATCCTTCTATATAACTCCTTATTGCTTCCCTTCAAAATGCAAACAAAAAAACTGTACTACAACACCAACAAATGCACAGCCACAGGCAATCTGCTGGTTATGTTTGTGGAAGTTGTTGACAGGTTAGTCTTTGCGTTGTTGTCACCATGTCTCATATTTGTCACGGTGCAAATATAAGACAACCTTTGACAAAATAAGTGGTATTCTGTTAACTAGTTTTGCCTTTTTTAATAGATGGAGTAACATACCCAAAGTAAGTCCTTGCTGCAAATGTTTTTAGACTAGACATTCTTAACCATGTCCCATTTTGTGTGGAAATGTTTTAAAGTCATATCCCAGATGAGCTAACAAACTGGTGAGAAAACAGTCTCTGTAGTCTAATACTGAGCAAGCACTATCTGAGCTGCATGATATATATATAGTAATGTCACAGGTGGAAGCAAACAGTATTTCTTTTTAAATGGTGGTTAATATTCCTCTCGAGACTGGAATGCACTACACAACTTTTCAAATCTAAACAGATAAAAAAAACACTAGACATCGTACACTTGCCATCTTTGTGACTGATGGTCGCAAACTACAAACGACTTTAAAGTTGCTCCGAACACAACAAACTTATTGTTTCTAGGAGATGTGTGACAAATAAAAGCAATATGTGTTCTAAAACCTACATGGTTAATATCCTCTGATTGGATGGAATCACAGGCTGATTTTCTGTGAAATCTGTCAACTCCAACTGCCCAAAATCTGCAGACTGGGTCTGACTTTCAGCAACTAGCGCCAACTCCTCCAGACTGTAAATTAGGGCAAAAATCTGTACAAAAGTCATGTAGTGAATTCCAGCCTTCAGTTACATAGTCCTACAATATGACAGCTGAACACTCCTCGGTGGAAATTGAGTTTGACTGCTCAGAGTCAAAGATCTACCAGCTCCATTTCTGCATGTTTAAATCAGAAACAAACTCAAAAGTTAAAATAAAACAGACTAATATAGTTAAAGGAGTATTTAATCATTCTCGTTAACAAACAAAAAACATATGCACTCATTTCATATGCAGCTAATGGTGACACTAATGAGGCTGATGTATTTAACCCCAGACTCTTGCTCAGGTTATATTTACATGAACCTGTGTGCTGTCTTTCACCCTTAGCTTTACCTTATACATAATATTACTGGCCACTGATTTTTTTCTTTTTTGATGAAGCCATTTCAGAAACTAATGTGATTAATATTGTACTTCACTGTGCAAACAGAGTCATATACACATAATTTGTCTCAGTCATTTAGTAAAACACGGTTTAGTATATTCAGTGAAGGAGAATTTCTGTCCTTAACATGAAATGCAATAATCTCTGCACAGATTTTTATTTCTTTATGAATTGTATTCATAGGCACGTCGGAGATATTGGATATGGGCATTTTGTGATTTGAAAGTGGATATTAAAGCAGCACTATGTAACTTTTGGCGCTCTAGCGGTTAATAAACAGAACTGCACACATCCCGCGGAAGAACATTCCAACCGGAGCTACTTCTCTAAGTTTATGTCTATGGCGATTCACGCAGGTATGTGTTACTCCGCAGCGGTGACGACCCGACCAGGCTACAATAGTTCAAATATAAGAACTTATTATAAGTGTACCGTAGTGATTCGGAATAAGACAAAAAACGCGGTTTGGAAGATGAATTCATGATGTACTCGCTCATTATATACATTTTGCAAATTTTGAACACAGAAAAAGTTACATAGTGCTGCTTTAATGCTCACTTGTGTGGGTTTTAATACAGTGCAACATTCAAAGACTCAGAATATGCATAATATGAATTCAGTCCTCTTACACTGCAATTATAGTTTTATTTTTGTACATTGTGAGACAAATGAGAGTTAAAATTATTCTATGTGCCATGAACACTGGCTTTTAACTGGGGTCTTTCTCAGTGTTGTATACTCTGGTCTTTTCATGTTTGGATCAGAAAGTACCATCCATCTCTGAGCAAGAGCAGGTTTAGTGAGGATATGAACTTTTATAAGGGACTGAACTCAAGTTGGTATGGCAGAGATGTTGATTCTCCAGTCATCTGTTGTGCTGAATGAGAACTTGTTTGCTGTTTGTTTGGTTTGCTTGCTACCCCGATCTCTCGCTAACTGGACGTGTCACGTGACCCACGCTTTGAGGCAGTTCTTGCCACGCTTCACCAGTTTTGAAGCACGTTTGCGTGCTTGGTTTTTGTATCCAGTACTGGGAAATCAATCTGATCTGTATAGAGACTGCCAATGCATCTTTAATGACCTCTCACGCAAGCTCTTAATTAAATCGAAAGTCCTTGTTGGTGGACAAACACTTCCTCTTCATGTATTTGAGCGCAGTTACGATATTTGCTAGTGTTGTGTTGTTGCATTGTGGCTGTGATCATTGTGTAGTTTTGTTGCGTTTCGTCACTAAAGATACAAATTCTCTTGAGCATATCTATATCTGTAATTAGTGTGAATGTGAAAGGGGCATACTTAAATCCATGAGCAGTGTGTCTGTGTGTAGTGACTTGATGCTTTCTTGCTGCGGTGGCCTGGGAAACCAGGGTCACTGCGCCACTATAAGCCATGAGTAGTCATTCTGCAGTCCTGTATCCTGCTGACTCACCAATGCTAATAAACATGGATTTAATCCTGTCATATTTCATCTTTTGTGTGCACAAATTGTCCAAATTCGGGGAAAAAAAAAAATCAACCCTTAATTTTGTTTCAGTAAACTCAATTTAAAAAATTGAGCTTTTTAAAGTATTTATTACAGAAATAAGAATATACTCGTGCAAACTGATTGTAATCGAAACAGTTAAGTGAAACAGTGTGATTGTGTTTAATTAAATTAAAACATATTATAGATTAAATTAATATAAAATGCAATTAGGTAAAAATTAGAGAGCTTTTATGACCCATTTTAGTAGGACTTCAGTATCTTAATATGTAATTTCATGATTACTTCTATTGTCTTTGAAATATGGTTAAAGTGCACTGCTGAAATTAAAATATACTTACTGTCATTTCTACTGAATATATATATATATATATATATATTTGTAATTACCCATTTGTAATGAATTTTCAATTCAGTACATTTAAAATGTATACATTTTAAATGTAATATCTTTTAATACACTACAGTTAAAATTATGATCAAGTACTTTACATGTGCTTTAATATGTTAGTCAACACATCAAAATAAGTGCACTTCTTTAAAGCATGACAAAAGATCATTAAAATGATGAAACTTTTAATTTGACTTTATTAAAGTGCACTTTTTTTACTCTCTGTAAGTGTGCTTAAGTGGCATTTTATTTCATATTAGCTGCAAGCACAGTTTTTTAAAGAATGCTTTTAAGATTTGAAGTACACTACAATTGCACATTTATTACAATTAAGCACAATTCTTTTTCAAAAGGGTAAGTTTAACAGTAATCTTACAGTCAAAATCACAGATTTCTCCACAAGTCATATCAGCTTCCCAAGCAAAGCTGTTGCAATAATCCATTGTTATTTTAAGTCAATGGGAAGATAATGATTAAAAGGAGTAATGCTGATGAAAAACCACACGTTGCATAACTGAGTCAAAGGCCATCATATGAGGAGGAAACGAAGGGAGCAAGAAAGAAGGAATTTAGTTAACACAGTAAACAGAGTGACAGCACAAATAGTGTTTTAAGGAAAGACAAAGAAAAAGGCAAAAACAATGCTGAAGACTGATAGATGTAAGAAACTGTCATGTAAAGAGCAAACTTTGGACCCAGAAAGGCCTGGAAGAACAGAGAGCCTAGATGTGAATTCCAGTCCTTCATTGTTGCTGAATATTGCCCTTGCACTCCAAGTAAGTATTTATTTATATTCCTTGCTAAGTCATATAGCACAGTAGAGTACAATAAAAGCATGCACTTTAACTCCTGCGTGGATCACAGCTATATACTGTAGTTGTTGAAACTGAAGTCATCCTTGATTTTCTTTTGTAACTTGAAAATATACTTTCACATTTTAGTTACAAATGCTGAAATCTTACCTCATAATGAATTACATAAACGGGGCAAACATTGAACACAACAACTGAAAAAGTAAAAAGTGTTTTGCTCTCTGTCTCCAAACAGCATGTGTTGGTACTGTCCTCTCTGTGTGCGTTGGTTGTGGAAACACTCATTCAGGAAGTAGACAAAGACAGAATAGTGGCCTATGTGTTCTTTAACTCGGGTATATCTACACTGCTGCAGAGCTGGATTGGATCACGGTAAGATAACATTTACCCTGTTGCTTTCCATGTAAGCTGATATAGTTGTACTAAAGCATCTATAGGGTTAAGTCCAATGTTTCCTCTGTTTAGTTTGCCATTGATCCTGGCTCCATCTTTGGACTTTCTAATCCCTGTCTTGGCTCTGCTTTCTGCTCAGTCAGGTGAGAATGGCAGAATTAAAATGAAGGCAAAGACTATCTAAATACCTACCCAATTAAACATACCAACAAACCCAATGAAATCCATCTACAGAAAAAAAATGTCATTGGTGCTGATTGTATTGTGTGTTAGGGACTGCTGTGGCCTGCAGGGGGCAGTGCACTGAACCAGAGGAGCCTGTGGCCCCAGCACACCCAATAAGAGAGGTAGAGCACAGTGCTGTCCATGGTGCTGAACATTCAGACCACCCTCCATTGTCACATTGTTCTACAGTAGCCATAGTAACAGCAGATCCCACTTTCCAAAAAGAAGTAGGCAGATTTATTTATTTATTACAGCTAACTAAAACCATTTAAACAGTTCTGCTACTTGAAATAAAATAAATGCTTACTGAAATAAAATATGTATCTATGTATGTACGTATTTAAGGGTTTTTAAAGGTAAATAAAAAAATTGCTTCTTGAAATAAAATAAATTTCAACTGAAATAAAAAGAATTAAACTATATGTCAGCTAGTTGCCAAGGCAACATTTCCAGTTTTTATTGAAAAACCAAAATAACTAAAACTAAATAAACAAATTAATAAAATGTATCAAAAACTATATACAAAAGAAATAATAAAAATGACAAAACACACAACAAAATTGCTACAACTTTAACTACAATTAAAGTGGAAATAAAATATAAAAATTCAATTCAATTCAAAATATTAACAAAAAAATATAATAGTATATAAATGATACTAAATTCATAGAAATGCTTCTTGGGCACCAAATGAGCATATTAGAGTGATTTCTGAAGGATCATGTGACTTTGAAGACTGAAGTAATGATGCTGAAAATTCAGCTTCCCGTCGCTGGAATAAATTATATTAAAAAATGTAATTTAAACAAAACAGTTATTGTAAAAGTATTTGTAATAATATTCCACGGTATTACTGTTTTAAATAAAATCTAATTAAAAATATCACCAAAAACTGTAATATATCAATGATTTATTTGTTTTATTTTTTTTTAAGATAAGCAAATATTTGATATATATATATATATATATATATTATATTATATTGACAGTTCATATTTATCATCTTGATTTGTATATACTGAATGTGTCTTTGCAAGTTTGTCAGTGCTTGTCCATTAAAGTTTCATTATACTTATTATACTTGGCGTATTGTGTGTATGTGTTGGTGTGTGTGCAGTTGAGAGGCATGGCTGTGGCTGCAGGTATGGTGCAGCTCGCTGTGGGTTTGGCTGGTCTGGGTGGCTTTGCACTGGGACGTTGTGGACCATTAGTTCTGGCTCCTCTTCTCTGCATTCTGGGTTTTTCCATCTACAGGGAGGCAGCACTGGTTTGTTCTGACCACTGGGGCATGGCTGCACTGTAAGCAAACACTTTCCTGAAGTCTTTGATATTGTGTACACTGTCCAGGAAAAAAAAATGCAGTTTATAATATTAGTAATTGAACAATATAGAAACACCCCCCTATAAGAAAGAATAAATGTTTCTTTTGCACTTTTGCACTCAGTGTGCAACTACATAGATACACATAAATAAAATTTTCTTGTTTTTTTTTCAGGGCAATTGTTCTTCTTGTGATCCTGTCTCAGCATCTGCACTACTTTCTGCGGCTGTCGGTGTTCTCCGTCTGCAAGAGACTTTCTGTGAGTCAAATAAAGGGGTTTTTAGGGTTTCTTAAGGCTGGAATACACTATAAGACTGAACTGATTTTAAAAGACTATGATACACTTGCTGATTTCTTTGTAAATGGCTATATTTATAGAGCATCATGCACTAAATGACTTAGGATCACACAGTAACTTGCACAGAAACATGTGCCTCTAAGAGACTAATTGAAATAAGATGCTTGAATCGGTATGAAATATTAAACATGTTTGATATCCTCCAGCTGGATGGAATCAAAGTTTAAAGCTAAACAATCAGAGTCAGTGCCCATCATACACTACATGATTTTCTGTGAAATCTGCAGTCTGTCTCTGACTTTCGGAAACGTTCACTAAAGAAACGTAAAAGTATAGTGTATTCCAGACATTATTTTGATTTTGAGAGCCATTTCTGCAAGTGTTTCTTCACTTTTTAATGTTGTGTGACTTTCCACAAAAAAAAAAAAAAAAAAAACATTTACTTTCACTTCCAAAACTAGTCTAACACAGACACCTTCAGCCATGCTTTATGGGATTTCCTGTGTTGCACTGGTAGTCGAGCTCTTTTACAGCTTTTAACCTGCAGTACATTTGTGGCAACTGGCATTCCCTCGTCCAGACTGGAAAAGTCGTGTAGTGCATTCCAGCCATTAGTTTGATTTTGAGAGCCATTTCTGCAAGCGTTTCTTCACTTTTTAATGTTGTGGGACTTTGCACAAAAAAGACATTTACTTTCACTTCCAAAACTAGTCTAACACAGACACCTTCAGCCATGCTTTATGGGATTTCCTGTGTTGCACTGGTAGTCGAGCTCTTTTACAGCTTTTAACCTGCAGTACATTAGATCAGTGTTTTGCCTGTAAGAAGATTATATCATTGATCTGGGCAAAGTTTCCCAATGAAGATATGCCTTGTGTTACAGTGATCTTTGGCTAAAATGTTCTTAATTTAATATGAGGTTGAATGTTGTCAAAGGTTATGGGAAACAGGTTAAAGCAATTTATGAGTGATCGTAAGCTCGTATTGGAATCTTGCTTTTGGGAAATCCTTATTGGTTTTTCTCTGCTGTGTGGAACTAGACAGTGCCTGACTGTCTAGTTATTATTCTCATCCATCTGTGTGCGTCTGTGTAAATGTTTTGATGTGGGAGTGTTTGTGTGCAGCTTAAAATGTATGAATTACATTATCCAATGTTGGTGTATTTTTTTTACAGCATTTATTAATGTTAATTTATAAATATAAATGCTCAAATGTATCAGTATATGTAAAAACATTAACCTAGATTCATGCTTGTTTTCTTTTTAAAGGTTGGAATATATTTAAACTTTTTGCTGAAAAGTTTGGGGCCAATAAGATTTTTTGAGAAAGAAATTTGATCCTTTTATTCAACAAAGATGCATTAAATTGGTCAAAAGTGACAGTAAAGACAGTTATAGTTTTACCAAACATTTCTATTTCAACTAAATGCAGAACAAACAAAAAAAACGTATCACAGAAATATTACAGTGTTGGGGAGTTTTTCAAGTAACTAGTAAAGTAATTATATTAAGAACATGTGAGAATAAAATCTGTTCTCAGATACCAAAGAAAACAGAAACTCGGTATCCACTCTCTTCTCTCTACCCCGGGATACTCTTCTTCGGTGTTTGTTTACACTGATTTTCGAAACAGCGCCACCACTCGTGCAACAGCAGCTGCTCTGGGCACGTGATCTAAGCTCAAATCTGATTGGACGGCCCGTTTCATCGTGGAGCGACGGGGAAAAAATCGACACACAGGACGAAAAAAAAATCCTCGCTTTTTCGCACCGCGAATGATCGCGCCTGGTGTGAATAGCCCCATAGGGATCTATTGTTTCGATTCAAAAGCGTCATTTTTCAAGCGTCAATTTTCGCTTTCAGTGTGAAAAGCCCTTAACACTACTTTTTAATTTGCTTTTAATTTGAGTTACTGTTTCAAATAAGTAACACCAGTTTTATTGCATTACTTTTAGAAGTAACTTTCCACAACACTGAAATATTAAACAACACAACTGTTTTCAAGATTGGTAATAATAATACAAATTTCTCAAGCCGCACATCAACATATTAGAATGATTTCTGAAGGATCATGGGACACTGAAGACTGGAGTAATGATGCTGAAAATTCAGCTTTGTCATATCAGGAAAATATATTACAATAGGAAACAGTTATTTTAAATTGTAATAATATTTCACTATATTACTGTCTTTATTGTATTTTATATCAAATAAATGCACCCCTTGTGAGCATAGGAGACTTTTAAAAAACATTTAAAAAATCTTACCAACCACACACTTTTACATATATATCGCATAGATTTAAAATGAGGCAAATGTGGCATCTGCAAATACACGATGACCTTTTTTTAGAACTACTATTTTTCCATTTTTGCAATTAATTTTAACCATCTGGTCTTTTTGTATATGGTGCAATGACATTTATGCACTAAAGGGTCCATATACTGTTGGGTCACTGTATGTAAGATCCCTTTTTTAGGTCCACACCCTATAACAGATATATTGTCCCTGCTCTTTGTGCCCGTTCTGTGTAGGTACTTCTGTCTGTGATGGTGACGTGTGGTGTTTGTGCTGCATTGGTGCACTGGGGACATGTCCCTCTGAACTCTGTGACCCACATGCTCTCGACAAAGAGAAACGCCACCTTCATTCAGTCCAGGAACGGTCCACACTCACCTGACTTTGTCTTTCCTAATGACTCTGTACCCTGGCTGGACTTCCCCCTTCCTAGTAACGTGAAAGTTCTGTTTTTAGTTTTAGTAGCCTTGTAGCAGTGTGCTCGAAATGTTACTTTTTTTTATCTTTATGTTTCTTGTGTACTTTCAGCGCCAGCACTCCCCCTGCTGTCTGGAAAAAGCATTGCAGCAGGAGTGGCAGGAGGCCTGTCTAGCAGCATTAGCTCTGTGGCTGTGTATGTGGTGGCAGCTCGGCTCCTGAAGGCTCCTGTGCCCCCAGCACATGCCTGTAACAGGGGCCTGTGTGTGGATGGACTAGGAAGTGTGCTCTCTGGCCTGATGGGGGCGCCAGTAGGACTGTGCAGCAGTGTGCCTAATGCATGTGTTATTGGGCTCAGCCAGGTAAGAGACTGTATTGATGCTTTCACAAAAGTAGTATGATTGTTAGGTTTGCCTAGGATTAACTTTGTTCATGTTTATTGTAATATCTCTTCATGATGTTTCTCTCTTTCTCTCAGTCTGGGTCCCGGAGCACAGTGCAGCTCGCTGGGGTGTTGTTGTTAATTCTGGGTGTGTCTCCTCAATTAGCTCAGATGCTCTGCTCAGTCCCTCTGGCCATCCATGGTGATCATCATTTTATATTTTTATCTCTTTTCATTTTATGATACACTAGATGGACAAAAGTTTGGAATAATTAAGATTTTTTTATTGAAAGAAGTCTGTTATGCTCACCAAGTTATGGTTTCAGCCCAATTATCTTGTTAGGACTATGGCGTTATACTCATAGTCTAAATGCTTGCACTTGCTCTTGTTCTCTCAGGTGCTGTGCTCGGCGTGACCTACACACTTGCCGTAGCAACAGGCATAACTTATTTCCAACATGCAGATGTTGACTCTGGACGCAACATTTTCAACATCGGCTTCACAGTGTTCATGTCATTAGCACTGCCACGCTGGTTCAGACTTCACTCTAGTTTTATACAAACAGGTATGGTGTAATGCAACCGCTTCATTAAAGGACATTATATACATCATTTGGACATGAGTCTGTTTCACTGTATGAATTTTCATCTCTTTGTGTTCAGGTGTACCCAGTGTTGATGTTTTTCTCCAGGCTCTTTTAACCTTACCCGTTTTCTTTGTGGGGGTTTTGGCTTTTCTTCTAGAGCACACTGTTTCAGGTAAAACAACACAGAAGTACACTACCATTCAAAAGTTTGTGGTCTGAAAGATTGTTTTAAAAGAAAGAATCATATAATTCTCACCAAGACTGCATTTATTTACAGTATTAGATCAAAAATACAGGAAAAACAGTAATATTGTGAAAATGATTATTACAATTTAAAATGACTGTTTTCTATTTTAATATATTTTAACATTTAATTTATTCCTGTGATGGCAAAGCTGAATTTTGAGCATCATTACTCCAGTCTTCAGTGTCATGATCCTTCAGAAATCATTCTAATATGCTGATTTGCTGCTCAAGAAGCATTTCTTGTTATTATCAATGTTGAAAACCGTTGTGCTGCTTCATATTTTAGTGGAAACTGTGATCATTTTTATTTCAGGATTTTTGATGAATTGATTTATTTGAAATGGAAGTCGTTTGCAATATCATTAATGTATTTACTGTCATTTACAGAGTTTTTTCCTAAAATAAAGCACTAAATTAATGTCAGTGATTTTTGGTATTTAGGGACTTTGCCTGAGAGGGGTCTTGTGCGACATGAAGGCACAAAGAAGATTCTGTCTCTCGCTGACCAGCAGCAGGGTTACAGCCATAGTCCAAACGCGGTGTATGACCCACCTCCACTTGTGATGAAAGTGCTGGACCTGAGCGGCTTGAGAACCGTCCCGTTCTGTGCCTGCAGAAGCCCACCTGTTGAAGAGGTGGTAGTGACAGTACCAGAGATGTCTAGCCTATTACCTGACAAGGATGCTGGTGTTAGCAGTGGCTGAACTTTTGGTGTTCAGTCCAACTTTTATTTTAGTTTTTTGTATTTAACTTCTGGTTTGCTTTTTATAAATTTTATTATGTTTACGAGTGGTACAGTTTTGTATTAATTCAGTTGTCCTCAACCTTTTTGACTCGAGGACCCCCCAAAATTAGTAATTTTTTTAAAGTTATTTATTAGATCATTTAAGTTAAGTTAGATTGTTTTATTTTATTAATAATATTACTATTATTAATAATTTATTAATAGTAATATATTAATTTGAGGCCCCCTTGTGGTTCCCAGCCCCCGTTGAGTTTCGGAGGTGAAATCCCATTCATTTTATCTATAGGGAAATTGATTTTTAAGATAATTTTTAAGACCTGTTTTGAGCTCCAAGGTTCTTGATCGGTGAATGCTTTTCTTAGAATTTGTAGTGGAAAAACTACATTACCCATGATACCTTGCAGAAAATTCCACCAATGACAGAGCAAGTGAGCAAATTTGGCAAAAGAGCATGCAGTGAACATCCACTGCATGAATCATCACAAATAACATACTCTTCTGGTGTACCTACTCTTAAAATAGCTAAATATTTTAATATATATGAATATTTTCAATAAATTTAAAATATATTGTTTTTATAGCTATGATTAAAATTAAAAATTAATTTGTTTTGTTTTACCAGCGTTTTTAATTTATGTCATTCGCAATGCTTCATTGGATTGTAGTTCTTTCCCTCACTAAATCCAGTACACAGTCTTGTACCTTTGTCTTTATGTCTGATTTTCGAATACCTTTTGTACATTAAATAAAAGTTTGTAATGATGGGATTCACCTCATAGCTGGTTGATTTGGTTCATGGCTTGTAATGCCATAATGAAGTCTTTTAAAATCCCTATTGGAAAAATTAATGATAAAAATACTTCCGGAACCAACGTCGCTGAAAAAGTGTCTGAACACTAATGCACTCTATTAATACGCCCTATACAGTTCTGAAAACAGAGAAATGTAGTCAGGAGACTAAAGAAAGACAAAGGCAGATATTTCCATAACCTTTAATTCTGAAAAATAGATCTTTAAATAGTTTTACAAATATTATATAATTTCTGACATATTTAAGTAAAATGTAAATAATGCCACAAAACAGATAAATACAGTAAGTTGTATGGGAAACTGAGTATTACTGCATAAAGCACACGTAAGGACTACATAAACTGGCATAAACATTGCACAGAGTAAACTCTTAATTTGTTCGAATGAAGCCTTCATAAAAGTACTCAACCTTAATAATGTATGCTAGATGGAGAAATACAGTGTACAATGTGACCATTAAATACTTGATTAAGTTGGGACAGACACCTCTAGGTTTACAGCAAGAAACATGTAACTGACCATATGAATGAATGCAAAACAGTTATCATGAACCGCTCTGGACCTGAACGTACATTTTCCTGATGTTGAAAGACCTTAACCCAGTTGTAAAGTGTATGTTTCTATGGGTGTGTTTGTGTGTACCTTCCACTCTCATTTCTTTTCTAACAGAACTTCCTCCTCCGTCTCAAACCTTATCAGGCCGCGTTGGTCTGATTGCCTGTGGTTGAGTCACTGCATACCTGAGTATAAAGCAAATTCATCTATAGTTTCCTCACTTCCACGCCTATAATGATATGTTTATTGAATGTGTATGTGTGTATAAAAGAGAAAGACTGAATAGGAGATATCTGAGCGGAAATGTGTGCGTCTTGATATATTTGTGATAATGTTCCAGTGTAGGCAGTATAGAAAACCCATCTGAAAGTGTTAAATATGGGTTATAAAGATCAATTTTGTCACGTCCAATGTCCACTTCCTCAAACGGGGCTCGACCCATAGAATAGCTGCATCCTTTCTAGTCGTTTAGGGTCTATTCAGGGTCATAACTGATTGTGTTCTTCATTTCAGGACTTTCTTACTTCGCTTTCTTTTAGATCCTTCCAAAACTTGTTTTCGAGTGACATTCTCATTCCCCCTGCTTGTTTTCATCTGTCATTGTCCATCATGCTCCAGGGATGGAAGTGTGTTGGATCCAGCACATGAGTCCCAACCCAGTGCAGCAGTGAGGAATACCAGTGTATCCCCACAGCCTGATGTCCAACTGTCCCTCCCCAGCTAGAAAGTACCCTGAGTGGGCCGAAAACCCAGTGAGCCAGCCAGTGCTGGTCCACGGCTGCGTAGCAGGAGGAAACCACGCCATTGACCACCACCGTGCCGTGGCGGGTGAGTGGCGCAAAAACCCCCTTGTCCTCCTGTATTTGGATCCTAGTGACCCGGGACAGATGTCCCTGCTGTCCTGCTCCTCGTGTGGACACCACGCACTGACCTGGCAGCACGTCACTAGCAAATACAGACTTCAGCTCTGCACTCGCTACAGGCCCTGAGCAGTTCCCTTCGGATACAAACAGGAGATGCGCCGCCGTCAAGGTCAGTTTAGCACCCGTGTCCGTCTCGATGGCATAGAACTGCTTCTCTGCAGAAGGATCGCGGTCTAGGAAGGCGATGACTTCGCTGTAGATGAGCGGCCCGCTTCCGTCGCTCTCTGATGAAGCGAGTACTTTTTCTCCGGGCTGTAAGCCGTCCATAGTCTTCACGCTTCCATCCTCAACGGTGACAAGAGCCGATGCGGGAAAACAGCCGCCGGTTTTTGCAGCCACAGAGTGCTCTGAAAGAGAAATATAATGACAAACAAACAATACAATTGTCCCTTTTCTCTCCTCGATGCGCACAGTAGCCTAAAATAATTCCAAAGGTCTCGTGTGTTTATTAAAGCTCGGGGTTGGATTGTTCAGATGGCACAGTGCCATTCTCAGATTAATCTTCAATCTTTAAAACAAACACACCCAAGCACAAACACACTCCCGTTCTCATTGTAAACCCATAAAAATCCAATCAAACAGAGAGTTGCAGTGGCAAAATAACCTGGCGTGTGTAGGCAAACATTTCAAGCGCCATCCTTCAAGCTAATTAGTTTTTTCGCACGACTCTACTCAGCAGGTAAAAATGCAATAAAAGCTAATAAATAACCACTTGATTGAATCCCAGCTGCCTATGACTTCTGTCCAACAGAAGTGACTGGGGTCTGGAGCGATGTATGCATTACAAAAACCAGAATGAGTCTTAAGTCTCTGTTGAGTCCTACACAAATATTTGGGAAAGGTAAGTACCAAGGCCAGGTGATAAGACAGGCTGAGATAAGAGATCTGAGAAAAGGGGACAACAGAGTTGCCGTCTGGAAAACAAAGGACTTGGTTAATCATCTCACAGCACTTTAGCAGCCAGTCCTACTTCTTAAGGCACATTCTCTCTCTCTTACATAAACACATACACACACACACACACACATGTCTGGTCAGCTATCCTTGTGGGGACTCTCCATAGGCGTAATGGTTTTTCTACTGTACAGACCGTATATTCTATTGCCCTACACCAACCCTACCCCTAAACCTACCCCTCACAGGAAACTTTCTGCATTTTTAGATTTCCAAAAAACTTAATTCTGTATGATTTATAAGCTTTTGTACCCGTGGGGACCACAATTTAGGTCCCCACCGTGACACGAGTCCCCATGAGTCTGTGTGTAGTCAGGTTTAAGTCCCCACCAGGATATATAAACCAGTACATACATACATATTTACATATTTACACTTATGCACTTCTAGTATATGTATGAGTGCTCACAACTCCAAATTGAATGCTGTTTTGTTTATATTTGAGTTCTGAAGAACTTAATTTACATGATATTTCGCAATGTTGTATCATCTCTGGTTAACTGTATCTTTCTTATTTTTATACTGAAGTACGTGCCTGAAATCTTGCAATAACAGTTGAAGAAGCCAACTGAAGAACACACCTATAGAGGACTTTGATAAAGCAGAAGTAGACAACAGGTCTTGCTTGTGTTTGCATGCTCTATCAGAAAGATAACAGAAGGGCCTCAAATATGTCCACACACAGGTCTCATTTCTCTCTAGCAGTGGTGAAATGATTGAAGTAGAATAAGTTACCAAGTTGAATAGTCCCAGATTCTTATTGGCAGCTAGGTGATGAGATAAACAAATAATCCAAAACATTTGCAGAAAGAAGTATCATGAAGAAAAGGTATTGCAAGTTTGCTGGGTTTTGTCGGCACATTTAAAAAAATAAACTTTTTGTTGTTCCAGTTATGTATGTGTTTGTGTGGTAAGAATGTGTGTTAAATTAAATTACTTCATTATCTTCAATGAGAAGACAATGTGTGCAACAGGTCATTTTTAGCATCCGAAAAATGAAAATGCAGGTCAAGAGAGAAGAAGAGACAATAAAACACTAAATGGGTGCACTTTTACTTTCCTGGTTGTCTGGCCAATAATTTGGTCTCTGGTGACTCAGGTAGAGGCAGGTGTTTAAGGTTTAATGATGTGGTCTGTTACCTGTTGTTACCTTCATCCCAGGTCTACCACTTATCTCACCCAAGTTAATGAGAAATTACCATCTTCACCACAATAGGACACACCTGATTTAACTGCACACTGAACACATATGAACCTTTCAGTCTGGAGTCTCTTAGTTCAAACATCGGAGATCAGACTGGACAGTTTTACACCATCAATCATAACGCTGTTTTTTAAATTCACATAATATTCCAGTTTTCCCCTTTTAGATGAACTCAACT